GTCATCCTGGCGCCCGCCGAGCCCACGTGCCAGAGGCGAGGCGGTGGGCGTACCATTGGCTTCTTCGTGGTGGACTCCCGCATCGCCCATGCCGCCGGGGAGGCCACGGTCCTGGACGCGGCCACTTACCCGCATAGCCCCGTCACCATCATGACCACCGCGCCAGTGAGAGCCATGAGGGGCTGGCGCCTGGTCAAGCCCAGGGCATTCCCCACCGGGCTGCCTATCGGATGCCGTCCTCAGCCACCGACCTGGCCAGACATCCAGCCCCTGGGCCAGTGCACAGATGACCAGCTGGACACGCTCTGGCGCCAGTTTGCCGCGGCGGCGGAGACGGAGCTGCAAGGCCTGTTCGATGTCGGGGGCGGGGAAGATTATCGAGGTCGTGGTGAGGCTCCGCGGTGGGCGCGCGCCCCGCTGGCAGGTCCACTGGCCTATGCCAGGCCGCGAGGCACCACGCGCTCCCGAGCATGGCGATGGGCGGCAGCGCGCGTGGGCGACCTCGTCCTGCTGGCGGACGCGGCACGCCGACAGGGATGGGGGCCGCTGGCCAGTCGCTGGCGCAGGCTGCATAGGCGACTAACCCATGGCTCCTCACGCTGGTGCGCGGCCTTGGGCGACGAGGCGGAGGCGACGCACGGCGAGCTGCTGCGCCTAGCGGCTCTGGCCTGGGAAGGCGACAGCCTCCGCTCGGATGCCCCGCAGGCGATGCAGCTGCAGAGGCGCGCCGCCTCGGAGGCCAAGGCCATCGAGACTGCCTTGCAGGGGCAGCGGGCTAAGGCTTGGCGCGAGCGGCTTCATGCAGGCTCAGCTGGAGGCGCAGGTTTCATTCATCGTCTGTCGAAGTGGAGGCCTGGAGCGGCGCCTTCGACAGGAGCTCGAGGCCACACCAACCTCGACCTAGCGGACCCCCAGGTCGCGGTGGACGCGGAGGCGCTTGGCTGGATGGAGCTCTGGCAGTCCCACGGCGCCGAGAGTCGCGGCGAGCTGCCTAGGCCATGGGAGGCAGCGGAATTCTCCACGTGTCTGGTCCATCCCACCCCCGACGATATTCGCATGATTTGTCGATCGTTTCCTGAACACACGGGGGTGGGGGTGGGCAACTGGCACCCGCGGTGGTGGGCCTTTCTGAGTGATGAAGGTTTGGAGTTGTTGGCCAACTTCGTGGCCTTTGTTTCTCGGACGGCGCGCTGGCCCACCCAGCTGCGATACGTTCTGTACTTCCTGCTTTTCAAACCCTCGGGGGGCACCAGGCCCATAGGCCTCCTCACCACCTCCGCCCGAGTCGTCGAGCGAGCTCACGCCGCCTTGTTTTTCGACTGGGAGCGAGCGATTCGCCGAGATTACGATTTCGCCGCGCCCGAAGGGGGGTCGGAGGCTGCCATGCGGCATCAGATGTTAGTTGACGAGGGAGTTCCCCCTGGCGAAACGTCGGGTACAGCAGTCCTGGACTTGCACAAGGCCTTCGAGCATTGCAGTATGTATTTGTTGTGGGCGGAGGCCCCCAGGCACGGTTTCCCTCCTCAGCTGCTCAAGTTACTCATTTCCATCTACACCAGCGAACGGCTGGTTTCCTTTCGAGGGGTTGTCTCCCCCCACACCACCACCACCTTTTCCGCTGTGGTGGCGGGCAGCACGGGAGGCACGCGTTGTCTGAAGCTGGCCATCCTGTCGGTCACCGACTCGATAGCCAGGCTCCAGCCGACGCTCCATCTCAAGCTGTTCGTCGACGACCTCAGCCTGCAGGCTCGAGGTTCGGAGGAGGAGGTGTCTTTGGCCTTGCGCGATGGAGTTTCTCATTATGTACAGGCCATGGAGGCCCGAGGCATCCCTGCGTCGAGAGCCAGACCAGGGGGGGCCCCAGGGAAAGGGGTCATCTTGGCTGCCAGCCGCCCCCTTCGCCAGCGTTTGAGGGGATGGGCGAGGAGTCCAGGCCTCACCACTCACACGTCTAGCACGCAATTGGGGGTGGATTCAGCTGGAGGCGGCCCCCTTTCCAATCGCCCCCGCCTCGGGGAACGGATGGTTTCCGCCCAGAAGAGGAACGGAAAGCTAGCCAGTATGGCTAAGCAGGGGGCCAAACCTTTCAAGGTCGCGCGGATGGGATTCATGCCGTCGGCGATGCACGGTGCGTCTTGTCTCGGGCTGAACCCCGCCCGCGCGGGCCAAGCGCGCGCGCTGATGGCCAGTGCCCTCGGAGGTCAGGCCATAGGCAAGGACCGCGCCTTGCGTCTCTGGCTTCTCAAGTGTGACCCTGTGGTGGGCGCGTGTACACGCCCCCTCTATGAATGGACCAAGACCGTGTGGGAAGGCCGCCACGAGGAGCTGATGCGGGCAGCGTGGTGCCGAGCGTCGGCCGCGGCGGCCCAGGCTCGCCCTGGCAGCAGCTTTTGGCGTGGTATCAAAGGACCAGCCACGACCGTGCTCGCGACGCCCCGTAGGCTCTCGTGGTCCTGGCCAGCCTTCGCGGTCTTTCGCGACCACCTGGGGGATCTCTGGGATCTTAGGCGGGTGGCCCCCACCTGTGTCAAAGCCATGATTTTTGCCAGGCTAGAGTTTCAGGGAATGTCGGCCTGGGCGGAGTCTCGAAGCCTTGGGATCTCGCGGGTTTTCCCGAGCCCATTCGGGCCCTGCTCCGTGCCAGGAGAAACCGTTCGGGCAACCGTCAGGCCGCCATTTTGGCTCATGTGGGCTGAGATTTTTGGACGCAGGACAAAGTTTGGAGCGCTGGGTACGGGCATGACAGGTCCTGCCAGCAATGCGGTGAGGCTAGGATGCCAGCGCCACAGATTTTCCCAGTGCCAGGCCACCAGCGCAGCCAGAGCAGCGGTGGCAGAGAGAGAACACCTCCAGGGGATCGTCCATCGCTTCGAAGCCTCTTCCTCGGATTCCCTCCTCTTCTCTCGCGGTCTGGTCGAACATCCCCTGGAGGATCCGTTTTTGGACGTCGTCCCTGCCATCGAGGCCTTGAGCCCTGGGTGCGAGAACCCGCCGCTCACGCAGGGATGGGCGTATACCGATGGTTCAGGTCGAGGCCCGCCAGGGCTAAAGAGCTTTGGATGGGGATATGTTGTTCTGGACGCCCAAGGGGCCGTCGTCAGGGCCATGCGCTGCTCGCTCCCAGGTTTGAGGTGTTTTAGTTCAGTTTTGCGTGCCGAAATCTCTGCCCTTGCGAAACTTCTCGAGTGTGCCACTCCACCACTGAGAGTGGGTATAGACAATAGCACGGTCATTCGAGGCCTCCGTAGAGGTAGTCGGTGGTGCCTCCGTCTCGGCCACACTCGGACCTCTGGGCTCGTGTTTGGTTTTTGCTTCAGGAGGGCTTCGTGGCCCAGGGCGAGTTTCGGTTTGTGAAAGTGCGTGCGCACTCTCGAGGGCGCAGGGACGAAACGGAGGAGGCCCTGTTAAATTCCCAAGGCAACCAGCTAGCGGACGCAGAGGCTAAAGCTGGAGCCGAATGTCAGGCGGTCCCCCCTTGGCGCTGTGAGACTTGGGACTCTCGATCCCGAGAGGTCCAAGGAGTGCTCAACCTGGTGGCGGGGGTGACTACGGCGGTGGGGGACTTCAGTGATTCCACGGGGAGACCTGCCACTGGCCCAGGACAGCCCCGTCGTCGAGTAGGGTTGCCACAAGGGGCAAGGCCCCATGTACTCGCCTGGACCAGAGGAGCGTGGCGCTGCCGTGTCTGTTGCCGCCACGCTTTTTGCCGCAAGGCCAAGAGAATTTTGCAGCGCAGGCCCTGTCGGGGGAGGATGGGGTCGGACCGTCGTTACGTGTCGAGTGCGGGGGAGGGTGAACTCGACATCCCAGCGGCCTTCCGTGGGGAAGCCCTGGGGCACTCGCTCCATGTCTCGGGTCAGTACACGTACTGTGCCAGATGCGGGGTGTTTTCGAGCGAGAGGGGATGTAGGTTGGTGGAGGTGTGTCGTGGGGCCCCTGCAAATCCCTCGGCGGCGTATCGCCTCTCGCTCCTCTCCCGCGCGCGGCATCCTTATAACGTTAAGCTCGCTCTTGGTGAGGCGTCCCGCTCCCTCTTGCCGTGGGAGCAGGATGCCTTCTGGGAGCGAGCTCTCGTCTCCAGCTAGGGCTGGGCGAGCCGAGCTGTGAGGAGCTAAGGTGAGGCACCTCTTCAGTGTGCCCCTGCAGGCTCCCTCCTTCCCGAAGGCTAGCTGAGGCAATGCGGGCCAGGCTAGTTCTAGCAGCAAAACCTCCTCCTCCTCCTCCTCCTCCTCCTCCTCCTCCTCCTCCTCCTCCTCCTCCTCCTCCTCCCCATCCTCCTCCCCCCCCTCCTCCTCCCTGCGGGTGGGGGGGGCCCTGGGCCCGGGCCGTTGCAGCGTCGCCGCTCCGGCGGCGCGCCGGGATTCGCCTCTTCCCCCCCCCCCCCCTCGCGGCAGGCCCGTGGAGCGCGCGCCCGCGCCGGGGAGTCCAGTCGGGCCTGTCCCGCTGCGGGGGGGGGGATGCAATCAAGAGGAGCAAAAAGCACACACACACAGACGCAATGAATCGTCGACTCCCAGGAAAGGATGGGAAAATGTGGGAAGTGTGGGGGGGGGAAGGCACGCACCCAGAGAGAATGGGAAAAGATGGGGGATCTTTTGATTTGTGTGCATTTGTTTGTGTGTCCTGGGGCCCCTTCATTCAAGACTGGTCAAACCATCGTCTGGGGGCGATTGCTCGACCATGTGCGATCTTGTCGGATATGTTTGTGTTTTGGATGTGGTATCCTCTGCCCCAAACCCGCCTGCAGGAGGTCATGCCCGACCGAGCGCCGGGGCTGTCCTCCCCCGCCGCCGCTCTCCCACGCCGTGTCCACTCCATGCTCTCCACCCCCAGTGCTGCCACCGGCTTGTCCCACGCGTTCGTCGTATCCCTCTGCAGTTTTTTTCGGTTTCCGCTTAAGTTGACACATTCCGTCCCGCGCAATGACTCCCCAGTTGTTCTTCATTATTCTCCCTGGTGCAACGTAGTCTCTTTATCCCCATCATGTTTCCCACTGTCAGCGAGGATCCCGAGACCAACTCGACCGCGCTGCTCGGTGACTTCGGAGAGGCCGTTAGGGAATATACAAAAGAAAAGGGGAACAAAGGACTTGCGATGGATAGCAGAAGTTTGAAGGAGGAGATGAACGGATGGAAATCAAGAGATAGAGAGAGAGAGAACAACGAAACAAAAACATGGTCTTCAAAAAAACATAAGAGAGATAGCGTCGGGGAAAACAATCGTTGATGTATCCATGTTCGCCCCCCCCCAGCAGGGATCGGCCTTAGGCCAGGGGTGCGTCAGTTCTGGTTTTGTGCAAGCAAGCATCTAGCTGCTGAAAAAGATCCGTCTGCGGCGGGCTATTGTGTAGTTTGGATTTCGAACACGGTTCACACGCATGCCTTTATTTCTCATGGCAACAAACATGATCAGCGATCGATTATGTAGAAAATTCGGGCGCCATTGGTATGATTTCGCGTCGGCTCTGAATTTCCAGGTCCGAAGTATCCGTCAGTCCTTTCCAGGCCAGCCAGTTTGTGTTTGGTTTTCCTGGTGCTGCGCTCGCCCACGACACGTGTCCGTAGCGTACATTGCCGCGACGCCCGCGGCCGTGTTATTCCTCGACCTCCTCGTTACCCAGCTCATCCTACAGTGAGACCGCACACTAAGGATGAGCGACTGTTCAAGGTTCCCGCTGCATCCTTCCCTCTTAGCCCATCCGTGGCCGCTTTCGCTGGCCGCGCCCCGCTCACAGAGTGTCGACATAGCCTCCCAAGGCCCTGCACACGGCTTGACTGTTTTCCTCTTCATTCCCTGTCTTCTCTCATCTTCTCCCCCACCCTCATCCTCAAAGTTGTTCCTTCTCACCCCTCTCTCCTTCCCCTCCTCTCCTCCTCCTCCTCCTCCTCCTCCTCCTCCTCATCATCAGCAGCAGCAACATCATCATCATCATCATCATCATCATCATCATCATCATCATCATCATCATCATCATCATCATCATCATCATCATCCTCATCATCATCATCATCATCATCATCATCCTCATCCTCATCCTCATCCTCCTCCTCCTCCTCCTTGTCCTCCAACATGTTCCTTCTCACCCCTCTCTCCTTCCCCTCCTCTTCCTGCCCTGTTCCCTTCTCTACTTTCTTTTTTTGGGGGGGGGGAGAGAGATGGGAGAGCGGTCGGAGGGAGAGAGACGGAAGAGGGCGGGAGGGTGGCCCCGGGGAGCGGGAGAGGGCAGGGAGGCACGGCGGGGGAAACAGGGAGGAGGGCTGGCGACGGGAGGTGCCTACTGTTGGTGCAGAGAGCAGAGGAGGAAGCGAGGGAGGAGGAGGACGAGGAGGACGAGGAGGAGGACGAGGACGAGGAGGAGGACGAGGACGAGGCTGAGGAGGCGGAAGAGGAGGAGGAGGAGGACGACGACGAGGTCGAGGACGAAGACGAGGACGAGGAGGCGGAGGAGGACGAGGAGGCGGAGGAGGAGGGAGGAGGAGGAGGAGGAGGAGGAGGAGGACGACGGAGGAGGAAAGAGCAGGGAAGAGGGCGGAGGGCGGACGAGGGGAGGTGCTGTGGGGGCAGGAAGCAGAGGAGGGGAGGGCTGTGTTGCAGAAGAAAACGACATAGACCTCCTTTTTTGGCGCTCCGCGCGGATCTCTTGGATCCGCGCTGGCCCCCCCCCCCCGGCGGCGCTTCCGTCGCCGCCCTTGGCGCGCTCCGCGCGCCAGAGAGTCCGGCGCAGATCCAAGGAATCCGCGCGGAGCGCCCCAAACGTGTAATAGCCGAAATAACAGCGCCATCGACCATAAGTCTGAAGGTCGTGCAAGCGCTCCGGGAGCGCCTGCAGGTCCGTCCTTGCAGGTGTTCCCGGAGCGCCTGCAGGTTCGCCGCTGTCCCCTTGGAGAGAGAGTGATAGAGAGAGAGAGAGAGACAGCGAGAGAAGGGAGAGAGCGAGAGAGGGGGAGAGAGAGAGAGAGACAGAGAGAGAGAACTGAAGGAAGAGTCATGGAGAGGAATGGGGTGAGTAGTCACACGGGAAAGAGAGATTCAAGAGAGAAGGGCAGAGAGAAAGAGAGGGAGAGAAATAGAGAGACGGAGAGAGAGGGAGCGAGAGAGAGAGAGAGGGAGAGGGAGAGGGAGAGGGAGAGGGAGAGGGAGAGGGAGAGGGAGAGAGAGGGAGACGAGGAGATGGAGGAGGCCATCAACGGCTCTGATGATGCTGATGATGACTAATTCTTCTTGTCATGATGATACTGCTATAGCGATGACGATGATGGGTGATGGAGACGATTCCGATGTGGTGCTGGTTCTGGTGTTGGTGATGGTGTTGGCGATGGTGATGGTGTTGGTGATGCTATTTTTGCTTGTGGTAAGCGCAGGGCAGGGCAACTGGAGCGTGGAGGACAGCTACTTAGATGAACTGCTGCACGAGAGAGCTCAGAGGCAAGGGGAGCAGGAGTGGTCTCCTCCTCCTCGCGTTTTCCTCGGTCGTCCCCCCCTTGTCGCTCGTCCCTCCCTCTCTCGCTCCGCCTCGCCTCCCGTCCCCGCTCGTCGCGCGTCCCTCCCTTCCTTCGTGCGTTCTCCCCCTTCTCCGAACGTTTTTTATCATGTATCATGTAGCGCCTGCCGACGCGCCAGTGGGCGTACGGCTTCTGTCTGTCTGTCTGTCTGTCTTGGCGCTCCTCGGTACATTCACTCAGCGCCCGCACCTGAACGCCGCCGCGCTCGGCCTGAACAGGACCCCCGTGGCGAGCGCGACTCCCGCCGCGGGCCAGCGCGTGGAGCCCACGCAGCCGAGCGGCCCTCCTTCGCACAGCCGCCACGGCGACTTGCACAGAGCCGCCACTGCGACTTCGGGAAGCCTTCGAAACTTCTGTGGCCATGTACTCCAGATTTCGTAATAAAAGGGAGGGGGTCTGGACCCTCCAAGACAAGCCATTTCAGACCTCCCCCGTGGGAGAACCCTCCAAAGCATCGTCCCCAGACCCCCCAGGCCCTCCAAGATAGCCTGGAAGAGACCCCCCCCGAAATGAGACCCCCCTCCCTTTATTACGAAATCTGGAGTACCAATCCACATAGAGGCGGCACGCCTCTTTTTTTGCGTGGGAGTGGCTTGTCCGTACGGGCAGGGAGCTTCGCGGCCGTTGCTGCAGACTTGCTCCCACTTCTCCCTGTTGAGCTTCTTCACCGCGCACGTCACAACGCGCCCATGGTACTGCCCCTCTCGAGTCACCGTGGCCTCCCACGTGCCCTGGTCCCCCTTGGCGGGGAAGAGCCACTTGCAAGTGCAGCCCGCGTCCACGGTGTCCTGGGCACTGCCTTGGGCAACCGCGACGGGTTCTGCGTCCTGGCTGCCTGTAGAGAGCAGACTTTCTTGCGAGTCTGTCCCGCTGGCAGACTCCGCCACTGCGGAGACGTCCTCTACCAGCGGGACCCCCGTCATGGCTTTCTCGGACCTCAGGCGCTCCACGAGCCAGGGGATGTCCTTCTCGGCGATCCAGAACTCGTTCTCCTTCAGCGAGATGACGCGCACTTCGCGGAGCGCTGTGCTCTGAGGGAACGCGAGCGGACACTCCTCAAACATGGACAACGACACGATATGCTCCAACAGCTTCAGCTTCTTCTTCTTCTTCGCGCTACCGTGTGCTGCGGGGCCGTCATCGTTAGCCACCACTGATATGAGAGCGTGCATGGGGTCCTCGTCCTCGATTCCCTCTTCCCCTGGCGCCGCGGGAGGAGCCGCCACTGCGGACTCGTCGTCTCCGTTCTTTCCGTGGCGTTGGGTCTCTTTCAAAAGACTCTTCGACGTGTTTCCCGGCACGCCACTGCACCCGTGCTTTTCCCCTTGAGTGTCCTTCCAAGCACAAAAAATCCCCATTGCAGGAACATGGCGAAGTGCACGAGCCGCTCGCGCCCTGCTGACGTCGAGAACTCCTTGGTCTCCATGACGGGGCGCGGCTCTGACAGGTACCCGCCGTAGACCCCGATCAACATGCCCGTCTGGACGGGCTGCCAGTCCTCACCTGGACCATGACCTTGACCATGACGAGGGGCCATGGCATCCACTGCGACCAAGGGACCGCACGCGGGAACGAGGGGGGGGAGCGATTCCTGTGCTTGAGCTGCTGAAAATGTGCGGCGGCGGCGCGCAACCTCCTCCTCCTCCTCCCCCACCCCCCAACCGCAATTGTCTCTCACGCGTCCATGCACCCATGAGTCCCCTCATCCTCCCACGCGCCCACCGCCGCCCCCTCGCAGACGGGCGCCTCGGGCCAGCTGGCCCAGGGGGAGCCTCCTGAGGCCGCCCCCCCAGCGCTTCCGCCCCCTCGGAAAGCGCCTGCAGGGCCAGATGGGGCGGGGGGGAGGCGTTCCGCAGGCGCTCCAGCGGCACCTGCAGGATCGGCTCAGGCGGGGGGGGGGCCTGCAGGCGCTCCGAGGGCCCGCCGCCCGGTGCCGCGCCTCTCTATTTCCCCTCCACCCCTGCACGCCCGCGCGCCTCCTTCGACGCCCGCGCGCCAGCTTCTGCGGAGACGCCGTTGGCAGCGGCCGCGCCGTCGGCGGCGCTGGCGGCGGCGGCGCCGCTGGCGGCGGCGAGCGCTGCTGTGCGCCGTCGGCCGCCACTGCGGCCTGGACGGGCGCCTGCGGCGGGGGGGCTGCCCCGCGAGGAAGCGCCTCCTGGCGCTCTGCAGCCTGCCGCTGGGCCCACGCGCGGTTTGCTCCCACTCGTTGCTGAGCCGCCTTCTGCTGGGCCCAAGCGGCTCCCACGTGCGCTCGTGGCGGGTCTCCGCGCCTCCCGCCCGCGTGCCCGACCACTGGGCCCGCCCGTCGTTGCCGTCGCGTCTCCACCACCCACTGCCCCACCGCCACCAGTCACCGCGCCCCCCCCCTGCTTGGATAGCAGGGGCCCCGTTTTCGCCGCTCGTGGCAGGCTCGTTTTCGCCGCCGCTGTGCGTGTTTCGCATCTTCGGAGGTCAGGCCAGCAGAAACCAGTCACCGCGCCACTGGCCGTGTTGGGGATGCTGGACCTCGCTGCTGTCGCTTGCGGCCGCTTGCGCCGCCACTGCGGCGCTCGCTGCTGTCGCTGCTGTCGCTGCTGGGGTTGAGGCCGCCTGCGCCGCCGCTGCGGCGCTCGCGGCGGCCACGGGGGGAGCCGCGCCGGCGCTCATCGGTGGCGGTTCTGTGCCCTCGACCACTGGCTGCAGGTCGGGGCCGTCGGGCCGCGGCCGTCGGGCCGAGGCAGCCCTTCGGCCGCGGCCGCGTGCGCGTGCCGCGTGGGCCTGCGCGAGCTGTGCGCGGGCGTCGGCAGGGGCGGCGGGGGCCGTGCGCGCGTCCCCCGCCTCGGTCTCGCCTTGGCCCAACCCGAGCTGCGGCGAGCAGGAAGACGGGATGAGGAACGGGAGCAAGGATGAATGACGAGGGGGCAGCATTGATAATGAACGGGTGAGGGGTGGGGGGGCGAGACAAATAGAGGTGATACGTAAGTAATTATTGATGGACTGTCAGGGGGGGGGCGGGCGTCACTCGTATTCTGGACACCAACATGGGGCCATATTTTTGTCTGAAACCCCACGCGGGGGTGACACGTGTCAGGTCAGCAAAACTACAATTGTCGCACTTTGTGCTGGACGCCAACATGGGACCATGCAGTACGAAACCACACGGAAGTGACACGTGTCACCCCGAGAGCCGTCTGGACGCCAACATGGGGCCATACAGTGTGAAACCACACGGGGGTGACACATGTCATCCCGAAAACGTTGTGGGCAACACTAATTTGTCCAATCATTTGTTGGACGCCAACATGGGGACATACGGTCCCCGAAACCCGTGTGAGCACGACACATTGTTGCACTCGTATGGTGGATGCCAACATGAGGCCATACAGCGTGAAACCACACAGGGGCGACACGCGTCACCCCGAAAACCCTGTGAGCAAAAAACTACATTCGTATTCTGGACACCAACATGAAGTAAGCATACGGGCCATTCAGTGTGAGACGACCTCGAAAGGACAAGTGCCACCCCGAAAACCACCCGAGCAGAACAAAGCGTTCCACTCATATCCTGGACGCCAATGTGGGGCCATACAGGGGCCAGATGACAACATACACGGGTGACACGTGTCACCCCGAAAACCGTGTGAGAAATTAATTGTTTTTATTCGTACAGTGTGAAACCCCGCACGGGTGGTACGTGTCATTCCGAAAACCGCGTGAGCAAAACTATAATATGTTCGCTCGTATTCTGCATGCCACAATGGAGACATACAGGGGGCCAGGCAGTGTGACACCACACACGGGCGATACCTTTCCCAACAAAAGTTTCGTATTCTGCACGCCGTCGTGGGGTCATACAGTGTATAGAAGAAACGAGCAAGGCAGAGAGCGAGATAGAAATGAAGCAGCAAAAACAATCAAGAGAAATCGGCACAAATATATAGAGACGATGGCACGATGTGAACAACAGTTAACCAAAACCTGATCCTGCATGTAGGTGAGATGGAACCCCAGGAAGACCTGCAGGTACTCCGGGAGCGCCTGCAGGTCCTGCTGGGGCCCGCGTGCACCAACATTACCTTAGTGTAGCTATTATGGTTTTTGGATCATGTTTATGGCGTTCATTTTTCTAGAGAGGGGGGGGGGCATCCCCCCTCATCTCGCCTCTCGCCTTCCCATCGGCATCCCCAGACCCCCGTCGGGTCATGAAGAGATGGCCTGCCGATTTCCGCCGATTCGATTTTTCCCGACTCGGCTGCCGACTTCCGCCGATCCGATTCGTGTCGATCGCCGATCCGACTTGTCGAGTCGATCCTGGGCTCTCCTGCCTCGTCCCTCCAGCCCTCCACCTTCAGCCTCTCCTCGTCTTCCCTCTCCCTCACCCTCATCCTCAGAGCCACGGCTCACGAGCTCTATATCCATGTTTGGTCCGCTGTCCGCCCGCTGCTGGCAGGGCCTGCCGGTTCAGTGCGGTGCTCGCTCGACGGCAGTGGACGCGGGAGTCATGCCGCAGCGAGGCGTGTGCGGTGTCCATTCGCCTCCAGGACGGAGCGTGGCATTTATTGCAGCGTGCGTCTGTCAAGTTCGACAAGCAGTCTGCGACGGCGGCGGAGGTCATCGCCGCGGTTACGACCATTGACCTCCTACACGTCCTGGCAGCCTGATAGACGCAGTGCGAGATGTCGGCACACACACACACACACGTTCGAGAGCATCGGCGGCCGCTCTCAGGCGCACAGTCAGCCAGGCGCACAGTCAGCCAATCAGTTATTCTTCTCAGGGGGTTAGCTCTGAATCAAATCATCAGCATCATCACCGTCCTCGTCGTTCTCGTCCTCATGTTCGTCTCAACCCCCAGCATTTTTTCCGCCCTGTCCTCAGACTCATTCCCTTCTCCGTCCCAAGCACTTTCCAGTTATCCTCTTCCCCGTCGTCCTCCCTCGTCATTCTTCCACCCCTTCTCATTCCTGCCTTCCTCCCCCCTCACTTCTTCCTCCACCCCGACTCCTCCCTGCTTCCCTAGCCTCAGCGGGGCAGCCTACTCCAGATTTCGTAATAAAGGGAGGGGGGTCTCATTTCGGGGGGGGTCTCTTCCAGGCTATCTTGGAGGGCCTGGGGGCTCTGGGGACGATGTTTTGGAGGGTTCTCCCACGGGGGAGGTCTGAAATGGCTTGTCTTGGAGGGTCCAGACCCCCTCCCTTTTATTACGAAATCCGGAGTACTGAGACGGCGGCGGGGTGCATCTTAGAATGCAGTGGGCCCAACAGGCTTCCGATTTTCTGAGGAGAGGTCGGAGAATCAAAAAAGACTACAAAAATAACATGGGGACTATTTTTGGAATGTTTGTTTTACCTTTGGAAGGTATTTGGGGGTGTGTTTTTTAGAAGCCGGCAGGGCTTCTGGGACGCACTTGCCTTTTCGGAAGTCTTCTCGAGGCTCCTCAGGAGGACGCGCCCCCCCCCGTCGCGCCGGCCCCAGGTGTGCGCACCCCTCGGAGCCAGGTGGCGGCAAGGAAAGGATCCCCCGAGGGGTGTGCAGAGCACGCGGGCTTGTGGCACAGTCGGGGCCCTCAAGAAGGAGCCCTTTTTCAGAGGCCCGAATCATCAGGGGCAGCTCGGGTCAGGGCTAACTCGGGTTCCTTTTTCGGGATTCCGAACCCGAGTTACCCCGGACCCGAGTTACCCCAGATAATTCGGGCGTCCAGAGCCCCGAATCATCAGGGGTAACTCGGGTCAGGGCTAACTCGGGTTCCTTTTTCGGGAATCCAAACCCGAGTAACCCCGGACCCGAGTTACCCCGGATAACTCGGGCGTTCAACTTTTCGTTGGGGAGGGGCTCCGCGTTCCTTGAGTGTTTCGCAGCTTGCCTCAGGTTTTCCTTGCGTGTTCGATCGGACATCGAAGTTTCACTTATGGAAAAGAGGGGCCTCGCTCCTTATTTTGGGCTCCTTAGGTCAAGGTTTCCGACTGTAGCCAGGGTGCGGGGAGAGCAGAACAGACCTCCTCACGCCCGGATTCACGTGCTGTATGATCGTCGTCGTTGTCCCGCGGCACTCGCCCTCCGGCTCTTGGAGCATCCTGCTTTCGGGGTCACGGCTTGGCTGGCCCACCGTCGTCCCCAGAGGTTGCACGGAGTGGGTTGTCGTGGGGTGAGTCAAAACCAGGGGTGAACCCAATCGGTGCTTTGGCGATTTCGTGGGCCGTTTTCGTTTCGATCCCGTTTTGCGTTAGAGGCGGACTGAAGACAAAACGATGGAAAACGAAGACAAAGCTGAAACGACAAACACCGTTCAGGTTTAGCCCTGATCAAAACATGTGATCGTCGTCGTTGTCGTCGTCGCCCCTGCTCTCGCCGTTGCCGCCGTCGCTCCGAGCCCGCCAGGGGAAGCGGAAGTGGCGCGGCGCGGTCCTGGGGGACGACGGCCTTGTCTATGCCCGCCCGGCTCGCGCCATCCCCGCCTCGCAGGTCACGCCTTCCTCCACCCCTCTCCTTATACATAACTCCTGCCGGTTTAAAACGACAAACAAAAAAACAACAAATAATGATAATAATATCAGAGGTTGATAGACCTCCTACCCTGACTCCTCGATCTAGGAATTGGCCGTTTTCGGTTCGAGAGAGGGCGTCGTGGCCGTCACTTTTTCGGGTCCAGGCCCGTCGGTTTCGGTCCCAGTCCGTTCTCGCTAAGGGGATGTTTACTAAAGGGAGGTTTGTCCACGGCCGAGCATAACTCCTCCCTCTCGCTCCCCGAGGCCGGTGGGAAGGGCGGGTCTGGAGTTTCGCTCGAGACGTCCTCAGAGTCTACCATCCTGAAATTTGAACGTTGGCAACCGTTTCACGGTTGGAGGGCGAGTCGTTCTCAAATTTTGGTTCTCGCCTCAGCGCCGCGCGCATTTTCTGTAAGAAATCTCAAGCGCTTCGCGGATCCAGGGCGGGTCGTTCTCAAATTGTGTCTTTCTCCTTAGCGTTGCGCGCATACGTTTTAAACAGTAGCAAGGGTTTCATGGATTGAGGGCGTTGCATTTTTAAACATGTGGTTCTCGTTCTGGCGCCGCGCACATGCGTGCAAACCATTGCCAGAGTTTCGCGGATGTTGGGCGAGCCGTTTTCTTCAACGTGTGACTCTCGCCTGAGCACCGCGCAGATTCAACAAATTGCAAGAGTTTCGCTGGTTGACGGCGGGTCTTTTTCAAGATGTGGCTCTCGCCTGAGTGCCGCGCGCATTCGTCCTTAAAATGTTGCAAGAGTTTCCGCAGGCGGTTCCTTTTCAACATATAGCTCTCGCGTAAGCGCCGAGACCTGTCGTTTCAAACAGTTACCAGATCTTCACTGACCCTCATGGCTAACATACCCGAAATGGTGTTTTGGAGCGATTCAGGACTATCAGTGTGCAAAGGTTACGCTGATTTGCAGTGCTCAAGTCTCAGGAATGGCGTTTTGGCACGATTCAGGATCGCCAAGACGTAACAGTCAGGTTAGTTCGTGGCGTTCAACTCTTGAACATAGTGTTTTGGCACGCTTCAGGATTTTCGCGCGGTTGCCAGTCAACAGGGCAATTGTTTCAGTGGACATCAGACTTTGTAGAGGCATCTGAAGAGGGAGCTTGGAGTGACTGTGTATTCCAACATCGTTGACGAATCTTGGGTCTACACTGGACCTCCCCCTCCTTCTCGTCTTCACCCTCCTCCTCCTCCTCTCCTCCTCCTCGTCCCCCAGGTCTTCCTCAAAATCCTTCACCCAATCCTCGTCCTTCCTCCTCCTCCTCCTCCTCCTTCTCCCCTCCTCCTCCTCCTCCTCCTCCTCCTCCTCCTCCTCCTCCTCCTCCTCCTCCTCCTCCTCCTCCTCCTCCTCCACGTCCCTCCCTCCAAGGCCCCCTCTCTGCCGAGGCCTTCTCCGGGAGAGCCGGGCCTCCGGAGACACCGGGCCGCCTCCTAGGGGCTGGGCGAGAGCCTGGGTGGGCCCAGAGGGCGCCGTTGGAGGAACCTGGAGGCACACCAGGCGGGGACGTTCCGAAGAGCCCAGGACGGTTCAGGAAGCTCCAGGAGGTCTTGGAGGGAGATGGAGGAGGAGGAGGAGGAGGAGGAGGAGGAGGAGAAGGAGGAGGAGGAGGGGGAGGGGGGAGGGGGGAGGGGGAGGGGGAGGGGGAGGGAGGAGGAGGAGGGAGGAGGAGGAGGAGGAGGAGGAGGAGGAGGAGGAGGAGGAGGAGGAGGAGGAGGAGGAGGAGGAGGAGGAGGAGGAGGAGGAGGAGGAGAAGGAGAGGACCACTGCAAATCAAGACGCATCAACGCTGTTGCAAGAAGCCCGCCCTCCAAGCTCCTTCACAGGGCCCTGCCAGAATTCATTTTCATTGCGATGAAAGCCCCAGGGGAAGACAACCGTTGAGGCTCCTGAGACTTCAGCGCCGCGAATCCACGTGGTCGCTGCGCCCTGACAGTGCTAACCAATTCGTGCCAGAATGCCGTTCCTGGGACTCCAACGCAGCGAAAAGCATTACAGTTACATCCTGACAGTGCTAAATCGTGCTGGAACACCTTCCTGCGACGTCAGCCATGTGAACTTGTGAGCTGGTTGAATATTTCCCAACAGAGGGATCGCGATGTTAAGGCGAGAACCATTGTTAAACAAAAGCGCGATCCATGCGTGAAGTGGTTGCGCACTTTCAAGACGAATGTGCGCGGCGCTGTGGCGAGATCCACATTTTGTAAACAGCATGCCCTCCATCCGCAAAGCTCCTGCAAGCTTAAGACGACTGCGCGCAGTGCAAAGGCGAGATCCACGCAATGAAACCGGCCCGCCCTTGATCCATGAAGCTGCTGCACACGTTTAACACGAACGTGTGCGTCGCTGCGGCGAGGTGCACATTCGAAGCACCGCGCAGCATCCGTCCGCAAAGCTGCCGCAAGCTTTCGAGCGAGGCGCGTCGCTGCGAGGAGAGCCACATTTAGCAATCGGCCCGCCCTTCATCCAAGAAGCTGGTGCGAGAGCCGAAGATCGAAAACGGCCCGCCATCCGTGACATGTCTGTAGGTTTCCGGCTTCAGGATCATGATTGGTGAGGCAACCTGCGCGCGAAAAGCCCCGCCCGCCCCATCGACACGTCCGTGGGTGCGACAGGGGTATTTATTTATAACGAGAAGGGATGGGGGAAGAGGAAGAGGAGGAAGAGATAGCGATGCATATGCAGAGAGAGAGAGAACTAATAATAATAATAAGAATACTAATAATAATAATACAATATTGAGAATAATACTAATAATAATAGTAATAATCGAAGCGGGGATGGCGCCCACTTGCTCTTTTTATTTTCCCTTTGGAGGAAGGGAGTGGTTTGGGCGAATGGGGGAAAGGGAATCTGGCGGAGGGAGGTTGAAAACGATTTCTTTCCAATTGTCCCTCTCTTCCAAATCCCCTCCTCGTCCAACTGCTCCTCATCCTTTAAAGAGGAATCCTTGACGAACCAACCCAAGCTCTCTTTGCACACCGCAGCCAGCCAGGCCCAGAGCAAGATACGCCAGTGTGAGAGGACGCTCAGGAAGGAATTGTACAGATCTGAGCTGTGGGAACAGGACGTATCGGAGCTGCGCTCTCACATCCGCACCAGCTCGGAGGAGTTGGATAATTACGAAGGCGCCTTCGCCTTGGAGTTGGATGGCAATGTCTCCCAGGGCCTTCCTGAGGAATTCGAACGGTCAGAGGGAGGCAGAGAGGCCGGCGTTCGTCGCAATCGCAAGCAGGCCCTTCTGCAGGGCCTCCGCGGCAGGAAGAGTTTCCGGCCCGGGCAGGCCGTTACAGCAGGCGGTGGACGACCACGGTGCGCACGTGGCTCGCTTCGTGGGCAGGAAGCGCAGGACGGGTGCGCATAAAACCGTTATTGGTGATGGTGGGCCTTTTTCTGCTGGTATCCCAGGTGCTGGGGGGTCCACTGGGCGGAGCATTGGGGGGTCCATTGGGCGGAGCATTTAGGGGGCCACATGTGAACCCTACCCTTACCCCCCACGATTTCTGAGGGGAGGGTGGGGTTCACTTCGCTCGGGAGCTCCCAAACGAAGTGAACCCCACCCTCCCCCTCAGAAATCGTGGGGGGTAGGGGTAGGGTTCACATGTGGCCCCCTAGCATTGCCAGCGGCTTCAGCAGCCAGCCCAGAGTTCAAGGCCAGACTCCAGATTTCAGAGGGCAACCGAAGAGGCCGAGACGCCCAACTCTCCTGGATGACGGGGGGAGAGGTCAGGGCCGCCAATGTTTCGCCCCGGTGGATGAGGGCCCCGCCCGAGGAAACCGCCGCGCTTCGACAGTCGGAGATGCTCATTCGAGGCTCTGTGCCAGTGCCATTGGTTGCGGCGCGCTCCAAATCCCGTAGGACACCGCGCCCCCTCCCCCTCCTCTTCCCTCCTCCTCCTCCTCCTCCTCCTCCTCCTCCTCCTCCTCCTCCTCCTCCTCCTCCTCCTCCTCCTCCTCCTCCCCCTCCTCGATGGTTGGAGATCGCGAGCCCGTTCCGTCTTGGAGGATCGGGTCTCGTCGCGTCTCGTCGCCGCGCCGGGGGCCCTCGGGCCGTCGCTGCTCTCGCGCCCCGAGGAACGCCGCGTGCGGGCCCGAGCGCGCAATTCGAGGGCGCTGAGGCGCGGCAACCAGGGGAGGAGGAGGAGGAGGAGGAGGAGGAGGAGGAGGAGGAGGACGAGGCGGTGGAGGAGGAGGAAGAGGAGGAGGCGGAGGAGGCGGAGGAGGAGGCCCTGGCCCTGGCCCTGGCCCCAGCCTCCATGTCCCCGCTGCCGCGAAGGTGGGCAGCGTGGTTCGCGGAACTTGGGGGCGCGAGGGCGGCGGTGAAAAGCGTCGCGAGTTGAGCCCGGTCGGCCTCGTCGAGCGGGCCCGCGGAGCCGGGGGCTCTGGAGCTCAGGACCTCGCCGGGTTCATCGTTGGTGCGTTTCGTCACCTGGCCGGCGACGTCACCGCCCCTCCGCCCCTTGATGCCCGGATCGGCGCGCGCGGCGTCGAGGTTCAGGCGCGCGATGGAGGGTTCCTGGAGTCTGGCCTGCATTTCCACGCGGCCCCCCTGGACCAGTTTGAAGCTGTCATCTTTCAGGGTGGTTCTTATTATTTGTCCGCGGTCCAGGAGCTCTTTAGGGCGGGCTGGGACTTCGCGGTGGCATCTCCGAGCGCCCGTGCGCTCGGCCGCGTGTCGGGCCCTGCTTGGGCGCGCCATCCCATGTTTTCCATGTTTCGCATCGCGTGGAGCTTGCCAGTCCAGCGCCCGCTGCAGTCAACTTGGATGCCGTTGCCACTTTATCTTTTGACTCTGTCCCAGTGGCCCCATGCGCGCGTTAGGTCATCTGTGGACCGTTTTTTGTCGGGACATGGGCCCTACGCAGGCCAGAGGTCATGGCCGCCCGTGCTGGGGCCGGCCCCCATCTCGTCGGCGCCGCGAAGGTCGGCTCGCCGAGCTCAGGGCGCAGTCGGTATTTCGGCCCAAGAGGCTTTCCGTAGGATGGGTCGTAGTTGCGCGGAGGAGGTTGCCAAGGGATCGGGCGAGCGCTTGCGCCGTGCGGCGGGCCTGAGTGCGCGTGAAAAGATCCACTACAGTATTAGAGTTGCTCAACATGTAGTGCTGCTGGCTGTAGTCGAGATTTGGCATGTCCAGAAATTTTCGCTCCAAGCCCAATGAAGAGCACCTGTAGCCTCCAGTGTCCTGTATCTTATTTCGTGGCTGCACCTGGCAAGGGGAGTTGGGGCCGTGCACGTTGCGTGTTGAGCGGTGCTTGCAGCAGCGTGCTTTCGCCCCCCAGGTTCAATACGCTCGGCGAGCCCATCCCCAGGTAAGTGTTTCGGTCGAGCCGAGTGCTATCCCTCCTTACTCGGGTCCAATGGTCACCAGTGTTCCGGAGACCAACGCATATGCGTCACCACCGCGGGCTGGTTGTCTGTCGTGAGGGTTGATCGGGTTATTGTTTCGGCGGTGGGCTGCAGGGTGCGTCAAATCTCGCGGCAATGACATGTCGCGCGCGCGGCGCCACTGGGTCACTCGGTTGCATGCGCAACAAAAAAACCATTCACGCACGTGGTGTATGTTTCGGGGTCGTGTATACAATTCCCGTGGCGATCTGTCGTTTTTATACACCACCATCGTGCTGCCGTAGGCTGCCTGGGAGCAACTTTTCGCCACCGACTGCGGCCGCCATCTTCGCGCACGGCCACGTGGCAAGCACGTGCGCTCGGCGGGGGCAGGCAGTGGCACCCCTGTCAAGGAGGTCGCGCGCAGGAGTCTGTCCTTGCCTCTGGCCGCCGGGCGGCGGTGTAAATATATTGGGGCCCCGCAGGTGTGCCGCACTGCCCCGTGGGCTGCACGGATGGGGCGTTCCCTGTGCGTCTGCCGTTGCTGCCACTTCTGCATCGCAGGTCGGCGAGTAAGGAAGCTGGGAGAGAAAATGTAACCAGCGGTCAGGGATCGCCAGGCGCAGGAAAAGGTGCACGGCCGTCCTTTATGCATGCTAGGCATCCTCAGGAGGGGAACGAACCCAAGAATGTCCAGTTCCTTATTTTATGCATGATTGGCATCCTCAGGAGGGGAAATAATCTAAGAATGTCCAGTTCCTTCCATCCCCGTCGGCGCCTCCATTTTGCGGTGCTGGTGCTATGGGGAATGGTGGAGCACCGGCCTTTGGTCCTCATCCCCCCCGCACGAGTGGAGGCCAGCACGTGTCTTGGGAATCCCTCTGGACTCGACGGAGTTCGTGCTTCGGCGGCCTGTCAGTCTGCGTCGAGCGCGGTTGCGCGTTCCTCTCGCCCTGGGGTGCCGGGCGAGGCCCGTCGTGCGGACCATTCTGGTGGTGGGAGCCGTTGCCAGTTTACCCCCCGTGGGCCGTCCGGGTCCAGGGAACGTCGAACTAGGGCTACCCACGGCCATGATGCGGATGATGAGGAGGAGGCTTCTCGTTTCATCGATGTTCCCGTTGGCCGCTGCGTGCCCAGGACCGTGCGGGTTCCGCCGGGGAGTGTTCGGACTGACGAGTGATTGAAGGGGTTGGTCTGGCCCACCCAAGGTGACGCCAGCCTGCCCCCAGAGGTCGTCCCCGGAGGGTCTGAAGGCGGGCTGCTGCTAAACAGAATCTTCGTCATCCTGGAATTGTGACTGGGTGAGGGGAAAGGCGGGGTGACAGGGGTTGGGGGAGGAGGAATGGAGAACTTGGGTGGGAGGGAGAGGGGAAGGGGATGGGGATGGAGTGTCACGTAGGGAAGCTCAGGGTTAAAGGACGGATGACGGCGACATCATTACACTTTGTTGTCTGCGTGCTTCGAGGTGTAGCCTCCACTGCAAGACGTTCTGCCATTCGCCACTCGCCATTCCGACGGCGGCCATTTTGTCGTGTAAGACGGTCTTCGCCAATCATTCCTTTGGGTTGCTCGCGGCAGAAATCTTGGGGCCTTGACCCCGTTGTTCTTCGCCGAAGCGGTCGCCTTGGCACGATGCCGTTCCTCTTCTGTTTCACGTTTTGGTTGGGTCCAGGCAGAGCGGACGCATGTCTGACCATCAATTCGCCCCGTTTCAGTATGTGGACTTGTCACCCAGGGTGTCCAGAAAAAACAAAGAGTTTAGGGATGGATGGACAGAGAGGGGAGGAGGGGTGGGGTGGGGGAGGGAGGGAGAGGATGAAGCGGAGGGGGAAGTGCGAGGGAGATGACACACACACACACACATCTTGCGCATGGATGGGCTAGTGGGGGTTTGGGAACTTCGGCCTCAGCCTTGGCGGGAACATCGGGACGAGGCGTATTACGCGGATTTGGTGATGGTAGGTGCGTCGTACTCGGTGTTCAGGTACGTGCGTTGCACATGCCGCGTTCAAACCATCCAGGCACCCTTTGGAGGACACCCCCAGGAGAAGTGGAGCGAGAGTTGTTGTTGGCAGTACCGACGATTATCCATCCAAGGCACGTGCAAGTAGGTTGTAATTGTAGAAGACGCCTATGGCGAACCACCGCCTCTCACCGCCTTCTGGAGTCGCCCTATGTGGCCTGATGTTTGACCGAATATTGCCAACCCATTCGGCTATGTGCTCTTCCAGCCGTTGTGGAAACCCTTGGGCCAACCGTTGGGAGAGGAAGGATGGAGAGGGAGAGGGAGAGAGAGGAGGAGGAGGAGGAGGAGGAGGAGGAGGAGGAGGAGGAAGAAGAGGCGGAGGAGGACCAGTGTAAACCCAAGACCCACCAACGATGTTGCAAAAAAGTCTCCCTCCAATTTCCCTCCTCACAGATCCCCGCGAACATGTACTTTCATTGCGGGAAGTGCTCCCGTAGACCGTTGGAAGACAACCGTCTGAAGATCCGCAACCACGCCAAGGCACCCGTCATGGGATCTCGCGCCAGAGCACCACTCCTGGGAGGTCAGCGCCGCAAATCATCGTGACTGTCGCGTCCTGGCAATCCGTAGCCGGGCCCGAACACAGTTTTAGGGGACGTCAGTGATGATAAAGTTTGAAGCTCTGCTGTAAGCTGTCAGGGAGAATGTGCCAGGCGCGAAGGCGAGCGCCGCATTTTGGAAAGCAGCCGCCTTCTGGCCGTTTAGCTCTTGCAATATTGTGAGACGAATGTGCGCGGTGCTGGGGCTCAAGTAGCAAGCAGTGGCGAAGCGTCCCGGCGTGCCTGTAGCCCTACCAAGCAGGGTTCTAAGAACTGTTTGTGGTCTGCACGGAATGTTCTTAGAATGTGCCTGGCGGAGTCGGTCTTGTTTTAACACATCGGGTTCATGTTCTAAGAACATGGTTTTTGTTCTGGGAACAGCTTTGGGTTCTAAGAACATATCGTGGTAGGGCTATAGGAATGCTGGGACAGCCGGTCCCTGCTGAAAAGTAACATTTTGCCGACGTGTTGAAAACGGCCCGCCCTCCATCTGTGAAAGTCTCCGAGCACCTAAGACCATTGTGCGCGGCGCTTGGGTGAGGGCCACATTTGAAAACGGCCCGCCCTTCATCCGTGAACTTGTTGCCAATTTCTGAAGCTTCAGGATCATGAATGATACGGAAGCATCAGGCGAAGCGCCCTGCCCGCCCTGCCGACTAAGCTCGAGGTGCGGCGGAGAGGAGTTATCTATATGGAAGAGGGATGGAGGAGGAGGAGGACGAGGACGAGGACGAGGAAGAGGAGGTCTGTTGGGGGCCTCTTGGAACCTCCTGGGGGCTTCTGTGGGCCCCTGGTGGGCCTGATTTCTGCATCCTAGGGTCCTCCTGGAGGGCTTCTTCGGTCCCTTTCGGGGAGGGGCGTCTTGGAGGTAGTTCGGGCCGTCAGAAGGCCGCAGGCCGTCTTGGAGACCTCTGGGGCCGCCTTAGGCCAACTTGGAGCCATCAGCAACTTGCCTGGGGCCTCCTTGGGGGCGTTTTGAAACCGTTTTGGAGGCCCTCCTTGGGGAGGCCAGCCATCCTGGCCGTCGTGGAGTTGGAGGCGGGGGGAGCTCCTTTGGCCTCCTCCTCCTCCTGGCCCTTTCGGGCCCTCTTCAATTTCTCAAGCGGCCAGCGGGATCGGCCGAACTCACACTGGCAGCCGCGCCCAATCGAAACTCAAATGTCGGAAACTGGAGCTCTTATATTACCAGTGGCGGGCCTTTTTTCAATCCCATCACTTTTTGAGGGTCGGGGGCGACGTCGGGGTGGTGTAGTGTATACTTTGTTTTCCCGCTTTCCCAGGACACATTGGACAATGTATACACCAGGGTCCCGTATACACCAGGCTCCGCTTTCTTGCGCCAAGGTCCGTGCAGGGCCGCACAAAAACGTCGGTGTATAGAGCGCGGCTCCCTAAAGTTGAGCAACTATGTGTCGCACAAAGCGAGGACATAGTCCCAGAAAGCGTTGATTTAGAACAGTGCCCTGGCAAGTATTCCAGGCTCTGGCACGCCAAGCAGCCCTCTGGAAGCAAAAGGGGTTGGCGTATCTGGAGGCCTTGAGCACGACCAGCCCCCGTGCCTGGATCGGTGACCAGAGGCCCGCGAGATGATTCTTAAAGCTGTGCGGGAGGCCTCCTTGGGGCGTCTCGGGGGCCTCTTGCAGGCCTCTCGCCGCGTCTTGGGGGCCTCGTCGGGGCCTCTGGCAGCCTTTGGGACGCCTTTTTGAGGTCGCGTGGCCCGTCTAAGTCCTGGGGCGATCACATCGGTTCTTGGGCGCTCTCAAGCCGGAAATGCCGTAGATGCGATAACAATACCGCCGTTTTCAGTTGTTCTTTGATTTTTGCTTCTTGGGCCAGTCCGCTGGGCCTCCAAGACGGCTCAAGAGGCCCGCTCAGAGGGCGCCGTCACGGCCTCTGAGACAGTCTGAACGGCGACGCGTGTGTCGTGCAAGTGCGACGGTTGAGTCGCTTCGGAGCGGGCACTGGCAGTGAACGGAATTTCACCCGCCCTTCCTTAGGCACAACCTAGGGGCTTCAGTACTAGCCGAGCACGTAGTACAGGTAGATCCGACTTCATCACTTCACACGTGCTCGGAGATGCTTTTCAGAGGCTTCTGCGGACTGTATCCCCTACAACGCGCTCGAGGTCCTCTGCATAGACCCTTTCACGGACGCGCTGACGACTTTTGGCACTGCGGCTGCGACGTCGGCACGTCGGAATGCCTCGACACGGGCTGTTGAGTCGTGCTCTTGTCGCGCCTCTTCGAGGCACCATCGCCCTCGGACATTAATGCGTCATTGGCGAGCAGACTCAGGCGATCTTCCTGTCTGTGCTCGTTTTGCGCATCCATGGCTTTGGGGGTATGGTCGTGACGACAGCTGCCCTGGTCCCCAGATCGCACAGCACTCGGGCTGGCCGTGGGCTGGGTCGTCAGATGGTCGGGGCACCTGAGGCGGACATTCGAGCCTCGGGCATAGGAGAGCGTGACGGCCTCCTCCTCCTCCTCCTTCTCCTCATCCTCCTCGTTTTGACCCCTCCTCATTCTCCCGCTTCTCCACCTCCTCTGCCTCCTCCTCATCTTCCTCCTCCTCCCGCTTCTCCCGCTTCTCCTCGTCCTCCTCCTCCTCCTCCTCCTCCTCCTCCTCCTCCTCCTCCTCTTCCTCCTCCTCCCCCTCCTTCTTTTCACTTCTACCTGTTGCACCCCGAGGCCAGTTTTTAGGGCGGGCCGGGCGTTTCGCTATAGACTTCTTTACCATTTATGACCCTGAAGCATTGGCACCGGCTTCACAGATGGAGGGAGGGCCGTTTTTTGATGTAGCCCTCGTCGTAGTTCCGCGCACATTAGTTTTGAACATTTGCAAGAAATGCACGGATTGAGGGCGACTGGTTTTCAAAATGTGGTTCTCGCCTTAGTGCCGCGCACATAACAAAATGTACGAGCTTCACGGATTGAAGGCGGTTCCTTTCCAAAATGTGGTTTTCATTCTAGCGCCGCGCTCACTTGTTGTAAACATTTGCAAGAGTTTCACGGATCGAGGGCAGGTGGTTTCCAAAATGTTGTTTTCGCTTGAGCGCCGCGTACATTCGTTGATGAAATTTGCAAGATCTTCACGGGTTTCCATGATCAGCGTACCAGAAATTGTGTTTTGGAAGAATACTGGATCATGCGGGTGCAACAGTTACGTTGATTCGCGGTGTTGAAGTCCCAGGATGGCGTTCTGGTGGGATTCAGGCTCGTCAAGACGCAACAGTCAGTGGGTTGATTTGTGTCGTTGGAATCCCGAGAACAATGTTTTGAATTTTCCAATGGTCGTCTTCCGACGAGGCAGTTCCCTCGGTGGAGCTGAACATCTGTAGGAGCCTCTGAAAAGGGAGCTTGGAGGGAGGGAACATCGTTGTTGGCTCTTGGGTTTATACTGGTCCTCCTCCTCCTCCACCACCTCCTCTTCCTCCTCCTCCTCCTCCTCCTCTTCCTTCTCCTCCACTCGCTTCTCCTCCTCATCCTCCTCCTCCTCCTCCACCACCTCCTCTGCCTCCTCCTGCTCCTCTGCCTCCTCTTCCTCCATCTCCTCCTCTGCCTCCTGCAACTCCAGCTCTCCCTCTCTTTGAGACCTCCGGCGCGCTCCGTCGCAGGCCTGCCACAGCCGTGCAGCTGCACCTGAGGGCGATCCCCAAGCGGGGGGGTCTCGGCGGCTGCTCGCCGGAAGGGGCGTCAGTTACCAGCCTGGAACGTATCCCTATCCCTAAGACTGACACGCCAAAAGGCGATGACAATCTTAGGGCTTCGCCCTCGAAAAATGCGGGAATCCCTGAGATTGGCATGGTGATGAGGAGATGCCCAGCATAGGGATAGGGATATGTTCCAGGCTGGTAAGTTAGGGCTTGGTCCGCCTCGGACCGCGGAGCGTCGGTGGTGCCATGTGACTCGGGCGGGCGGAAGCGGGGGGGGGACCTCAATGGGGGGCGCAGGGAGACAGGCCCTCCAGGGGCCCTGTGGGGGGGCCCTCTCTGAGCCCCTTCTCTGGCTCCAGGAGAGAGAGCCCACGGGGCCCCTGCGGGTCCCTTCTCTTCACCCCGCATCTGGGTTCAAGTCGGGCGTGTCCCTCTACGGGAGGAAGATTCAGAAATAGTCAAACAGTAGCCTTGGGACGATCTGTTGGCAATGGTTGACAGTGTTTGATTATGTTTTAGTGTTTCTTAGTTATGTCCAAAATCCGCCTGAAGGAGGACATGCCCGACCTAAATCTAGGTCCCTTCTCTTCACCCCGCATTTAGGTCGCCCACCATTGACACCCACCCGATGGACACTGATCGTGCACGGCCGCGGGGCGATCTTCGGACCGGCCGATCCTCCGCGCTGAACTGCGAGGCACTCTGGCACGAGGAGGCGACGCCAGCGCCAACGTGCAGGGCCGAGCGCCTTCTGGGGGGACTGCGTCGACCCGGGGCCCCACAGGAAGTGGCCTCCGGCGCGGCGTGTGCGGAAGATGTCAGGCGAGGAAAAGATGCCGATACAGTCGGGGCGCTGAAGAAGGAACCCTTTTCGTTGGGGAGGGCTCGATGTTCCTTGATTGTTTTACAGTTTGCCATGGGTTTTCCTTAGGTTTTCGATGTGAAATCGAAGTTTAACTTGTGGAGCAAAAGGGGCCTCGTTCCTTATTTAGGGTTCCTTAGGTCAACGCCCCGACTGTACTAGAGAGGGGCTCGGGTCTGATACCCGCCAGACGGGCCGTTTCACCCCCCCCCTAAAGCCAGCCGTGACAGGGCGGCCTTTTGCCCAGACCCCCCGGAAGCCTCCAAGACAGCTCGAGTCGGACCCCCCCTCAGATCAGACCCCCCCCGCTGCGTTACGGAATGGAGACTTCTCTCCCCTCGTCCTCGCCTCTCTGCCCCTGGGAGGCCCTCGTTTCCACCGCCGAGTTCCCTCGAAGTTCTGGCCAGGACGCACCTCAGGAGAGGTCCGGGGAGGGGCGGCATCGGTTCGCGCGATGCCGTGAGAAGAGGGGGGGGGGCAGGGCCTGTCGCCCGCCAGAGGGGGGCCGTTGCAGACCCCCCCCAAAACCGGCCGTGAGAGGCCGGAACCCTGCAAGGCAGCTCAAATCGACCCACACACACACACAAAAAAAAAAAAAACACAGGGGGGCCTTCTGGTTTCCCCGCCCCGAGACGGGGCCGACGGCCTCCCGCGGCCTCCGAGAGCGGAGTCACCGTTCAAGACCGACTGGCTCGGGCGGTGGCAGGCCACGGGGCACGCGCGGTCTGGGCGGGGGGGGTCACTTTTCGCGAGGCCTCCTCGAGGAGGAGGGAGGAGGGAGGGAGGGAGGAGGAGGGAGGAGGAGTAGGAGTAGGAGGAGGAGTAGGAGGAGTAGAGTAGGAGTAGGAGCGGAGGAGGAGGAGGAGGAGGAGGAGGAGGAGGAGGAGGAGGAGAAGCCCCGAACTGGGGGGGCTCTCCCGGTAGAGGCCTTCCCAGGCAACCAACAGCCGTGAGGACCTTGCCGTGCGGCGGAGAGGTGGAGAAGGGGCGAGGAAGGAGGAGGCAGGAGGAGGAGCAGGAGGGATGTCGAGGAGGAGGGAAGAGGAAGAGGAGGAGGGGGAGGTGGAGAGGTGGGGCGCAGGGGGAGGAGGAGGAGGAGGAGGAGGAGGAGGAGGAGGCGGAGGAGAGGAGGCGGAGGAGGAGGAGGAGGAGGAGGAGGAGGAGGAGGGGAGGGAGGAGGGGAGGAGGAGGAGGAGGAGGAGGAGGAGGAGGAGGAGGAGGAGGGCGAGGAGGGGAAGGTGGAGCAGAAGAGATGACGATGAGGAGGAGGAGGAGGAGGAGGAGGAGGAGGAGGAGGAGGAGGAGGAGGAGGAGGAGGAGGAGGAGGAGGAGGAGGAGGAGGGGGAGGAGGAGGAGGAGGAGGAGGAGGAGAGGAGGAGGAGGAGGAGGTAGGAGGAGGAGGAGGAGGAGGAGGAGGGAGGAGGAGGAGGAGAAGAAGAAGAAGAAGAAGAGGAAGAGATGAGGAGGAGGAGGGGGAGGAGGAGGAACTCCTGACGCAGCAATATATGTGGATTGATGTCCGATCAACCCAGAAGGAGGAGGAGGAGGAGGAGGAGGAGGAGGAGGAGGAGGAGGAGGAGGAGCAGGAGCAGGAGCAGGAGCAGGAGCAGGAGCAGGAGCAGGAGCAGGAGGAGGGGTGAAGAGGAGCGAGGCGGAGGGGCGAGGAGGAGGTGGAGGGGGGGGCGAGGGTAAGGCAGGGGGAGGACGAGGGAGGAGCCCTCCCCGCTGCCGGTCCTCCTGGGCGCCCCTCTCGTCGGAGGGCCCCCGGTGCCGGCGGTCGCTGGCTACTGCCCCCAGCAAGCCACCGCCGCGACCGCCACCGCCGAGGACGACCGACGCCGGGCGACGGACGACGACGGACGACGGACGGCGGACGACGGCGGGCCGTGGATCGCGGGCCACGGGCCACGGGCGGCGAACGACGGGCGATGGGCGAGGGCGGACGGACGGACGGACGGACGGACGGACGGACGGACGGACGGACGGACGGAGACGACGACGACGTCGACGACGACGACGACGACGACCACCACGACGACCACGTCGACCACCACGAGATCCACATCGACGGCGACGACGACCGGGGGCCTCTGCCCGCCGCGTCCGCCGCCTGGCGGCGGCGTCGGCGGCGGTGTCGTGGTCGGGCGTGGTCCTGCGTCGTCCGTGGGCGTCGCCGTCCGTCCGTCGTCGGCTTCGTCGGCGTCGGCGTCGTCTTCGTCGGCTGCAGGCATGGCCGGCGGCGTCCGCTGCAAGTGGCGCGGCGGCGTAGTGGCCAACGATGGCAACATATACTGCGCGCCAGACTGCGCCGACGCGGTGCTCTGCATCGAGCCCGCCGCCAGGCACGAGCCCGTCGTCGGGGCATCGTCGGCGATGCTCGTCCTCGTGCTCCTCCGCCTCCGTCGAGCGGTCTGTGGCGTTGTGCGAGTGCTGCTGTCCCCCGCGGGGGCCTCCAGAGGCTGCAGAGCCTCTGGGGGGCCTCAAGAGGTCTCTGAGGGCATCGGGGAGGCCTCCGGACACGTCTGGAGACCTTTACGTGTGGGCAAGTTCTGGGCTCCAGGACAGTCGAGAACGATCAGCTGGTTCTGGGGCTGGGAGCTCCAGGTCGCAGAAAGCCACGGGCGATGACTGCATTTTGAGCTTTGGCCCTTTCTCCCCGGCCGTTCAACGTTAAAGGCGCGCAGAAGATATCAGTGTTGGGGAGCAGCCATGTAAGGAGGCACCCAAGGAGACAGCAGCCAGAGGGCTCGAAAGAAGGCACGAGGCTGCTTCAAACCCATCTCCTGGCGCCTTCTAAGAAGCGCGATTCCTTCCGAAAAGGATACCCTCTTGACCCTGCCCCCTTTGGGCTCGCCGCCAACAATATTGGGGGGTCACCTTTGGTGGCGTGGGGGTTGGGAAAAAGGGGGGCAAGGCAAGAAATCTTGTCCGTGCTGTGCAGCGCGTTCCTCCATACGCAGGTGCGTCCGTTGCCTTGAGGTGCCTGGGAAACCAGCTTAGAACTTTACGTGGCTGATTCTCTGCCACCTGCATCCCTCCGTTGGTCCCCCCGCTGGCTCGTAGACAAGAGGAAGAAGAACCCTCTGACGTGACTCGGCGGGATACACAGTCAGCCCGCATAGTAAGGATGGGCAACCTTTCCAAGTGTACCCTTGCATCATTGCCCCTTCGGCTCATCCTTAGCGACTCTCGCTGGCCAATCTCGTTCGAAGAACGCTTACGTGGCCCTCCACGGCCCCTGCATCAGTACCGCGCATCCTTGTCATACGGGTTGATTGTACCGTTGCAGACGGTTTAGAGAGGATGCGCGCGGAGCCAGCGAGCCCGTCCTGGTCCTCCCGCCGGGTCCGAGCGGAAGGGGTCGGAGGATAGCTCCTCCTCTTCCTCCTCCTCCTCCGCCTCCTCCTCCTCCTCCCCCTCCTCCTCCTCCTCCTCCTCCCCCTCCTCCTCCTCCTTCTCCTCCTCCTCCTGTTCCTCCTCCTGCTCCTAGTTCTCCTCCTCGTCCTACTCCACCTCCTGTGCCGGGGCACGGCGGCCAGAGCTCCGAGGCGGGGATTCATACATGACTACCGCCCGGAGGGTTAGTTTTCGGAGCCTCGGCAGGCGGTGGATATGGACACATTCTCGGGTCGGGCGAAAGGGGGGGATTAGGAAAGGGGGGGTTACGAAATTTGCTGCATGCAGCTGGTTTCGGCCTCACTCAGGGGCCCATTCCTCGATACATACCCGCCTCCCGGCGCCGGGAGGCGCCGGGAAAATCAGCTACGTGAGCTGATTTTCAAACCCCCCCTTTGCTATCCCCCCCTTTCGCCCGACCCGATAGGACGTCGGTTCCCAGGCGGTGGGTGTGGATGGACTCCCGCCTCGCAAGATTTCGGCCTCGGAGATGTTTCGACGAGGGATCGAAGGGAACCTCGGGCAGGAGTTGTCAGGGGGGGCGATCCAAGTGAGGGGGGGAGGAGGAGGGAGGTGCGCCCTTTTCGGGCCCTGAGGGCCTGAGGGGCGCCCTTTCTGGACCCGGAAGGGCCCCCAGGGGCCCTCTCTTCGGTAGCCCTCGCTGCCCCTCCATGTACCGCCCCCCCCAATGACGCGCCCCGCAACGGGAAGGGACTCCCCTTCGATTCGATTGCGACGTTGCTCGATCTCTCCTTGGCGGGAACGTTTGAGGAGGAGGGCCCATGGACAGAGACAGGGGGGAACGATGACGGCGACAACGACAGAGGCGACGATGGCGACGACGACGACGACGACGACGACGGCGACGACGAAGACGACGACGACGACGATGACGACGACGACGACGACCGGTCAAACGGAAAAGCCTCAGAGATTTCGCATCTTGCGTCAGTCGGAGGAACAAAAGGTCGTGATGATGATATGTTCCAAGGTTCCAGGGTTTCCCAGATTTCCCGGGTTTTCCAGGGGGTCAGGGTTTTCGGAGGAACAAGGTTTCCCAGATTTCCAGGGTTTCCAGGCTTGTGCATTTTCCCGCATGTTCTGCAGAAGGGAGTGCTGCTTGACACCAGAAAAGTTATCTGAAACGCATCCGGAGCCAATCTTATCATGAAAGGCCGCGAAAGGTTCGAGTCCCCCCGTGTGAACAGGCCTCACACACCTCCCCCTTTCCCTCCCGCACATCTCGTGCAGTCACCCGCCATGGACCCCCCAGCCTGCTGAGGCTGGCCCAGACGCTCCGTGTGCGCCGCCGCGCGGCGCGGCGCTGCTGGTGGAATATCCTGAATGACGACATGGCGACGGTGCAGCAGTTTAGTACGGCATAGCGAGAACGCGAAGTTCGTAGGCTGAAGCCCCTATTCATTGATCAGTTTCCCTGGCAGGACCGACTCTATCAGCTATGAGTTTCGCAACCAGTACGGTATCTTATGCCCTGGCACACATATTCGACAGATCGCACAGCTATCACATCACCGTGAAGAATCCAGACACAATTTTTGGATACACTGGGGCTGGGGTCGGTCCCCACATGTTACTTCCGCCTGTGGATGCTCCATCGCGATATGTAAGCGACGTTTTTCTCCCAAGCACGTGGTCAGAATCGCCTCCCCGCCATCTGACTTACAGGGCCGTGCAGGCTCCATTGATATTATCATTGATATTGTACGAGGACATTTCCGAGTCAGGCTGATCGTGGGTTACCTACCCCCAGTCCCACATAGCTCAAACGCAAAGATCACGGAACGGACACGCACACGAATTTGGCAATGGATCACAACAGAGATTACTTCTACCCCGACACGCATGACGCCCCTATTTTTCGGCGACCTCAACCAAGGCATGGGACGTCGTCATCGGGCCCCATGTACTGACGACAGCATCGGATCACAGCAGCCCGCCCCAGAGACTACCGTAGGCACATCCATTCACGAAAGTCTCATCCTTAACCAGCTCTGCGCGTATAACACATTCTGGAATACTGGGCCGACCTTTTTCGGCAATGGCGGTGCTCGCAGCAGAATTGATTATTGGATCGGCCCGATTGACGCGTTCCCTATTATCACGAAGCTAAAGTTATGCTGGCGCTCTCGTCAACGCCTGCGTGTCTTTCCCCACATGCTCGATCACATTCCAATGCTTATTCATGTCCAACTTACTTGCCCAACGTCATCTTCTACCGACCACGCACCACGATGGGACTGGGCCCTGCTGGCAGCAGGACTACAGACGGGATATCGACGCGCTGAATTTCTACGTGACTTACATCAGCAGCTCACTCAACATGCACATGCTCTTCGAGTTCTCCAACATGGCCAGCTTCCCGACCGACATGCAGCATGCGTTGCATACCTGGTCCAGCAAGCAGCGATCCCGCATTACTCTCGTCATGGAGGACGCCCAGCTCGGCTCAAAGACGCTCAGCGCACACGACAAGAACTCCTCCGAGAACGTGCACAACTACGCGACAAAGGCATGGCGGTCGACGACACCCACCTCAAGCTCATCTCTCGCCAACTCCGCGAACATGCACAATGGAAACGGGCATGGTGGCATCATTTCCTCGACGAACAAATCACCGACGCCTGCCGCCACCGCGACCTCTCACGAGTCGCCGAGTTCAGCAGACTTCGTGCAGGCACTGCAGCAGGCCCCAAGAAACGCAATTATTTGGCATTTCCGAGCGTACGACCCGCATCTGATCACTACTGCGCCGCCCTCGGCAAGCCCGCCGCCGACGGCGGCCTCGCGGCGGCGCCTACACACCTCAGCATCTATGTCTCAAGTGACGCCGCCGCCCAGGAGCTCCACCAGCGCCCCGAGAACGACATGCGCATCGTCGGCGAGTACGCGTGGATCCCACACTGGACTCCCTCCTCGCCTCGGCACAGGACCTCGACGCTATGGCCAAACGACTTCGGACGAACAAACATCGCAAATATTCTCCTGTTTGGTCATGACCTACTGAACTTACGACTACGAAGCTATTCCCGACATATCTCAGCAGACCAGGACTTCCACGCAGTGGACTTGGATACGCTCCCACCGACTACCCCAACCACCACCAGCTCCGACATGGACTTGGACACGACACGACACACGACGACCGCACAACCCCACCACGACGCCCACCACGCCCGACGCCCCATGCACCGTGCTCACCCTCTTACTTCAACACGTCCGCGACTCAGAAACTCTACCAGCCCAGTCCTACACCAGCCAGACCGTAGCCATCAGCAAGAAAGGCAAACATCCATGCGGAGATCCAGTCCACGACCTCAACAACTGCCTACGAATGCTGCACGTCTTTTGTCCTTTCTGGCGGCTCTATCTCCGAAGCGGATTGGTTGATTTTGGCAGTACATACACCCCACCACCATGGGCATATGGTGGCATCCGTGCTCGAAGACGAGAAGGCCTCATGACGCTCACGCGCATCGCGACCTTCAAGCTACGCAGTGCACACATCCCACACCTCGTGAAGAGCTACGACATGCGCAACGCCTTCGGCACAGGCGACACTGACCGACTACTGGCAGCACATCGTGCACGCACTGACGACCCCCACTTTGAGGACATGCTCACGCAACATCGACTCCGTGCCGCCATGCGCATCGATGCCAGCGACGACATCATCGGGCTCCACCCATGCAGTGGAGGCCGCATGGGCGACAGCAACGAGCCCGAGCTCTTCATGGAATCCTTCTATCCACTCATCATCGACTGGGACGCAGAGCTCACTGCCGTCATTGGAGACGGCCTCATCTGCGCCAACCCCATCACAGGCACCGCCCATCGCATCGACATGGGCGCCTTCATCGACGACATCGTACGTGTGGTCATCGTCCCCGACGGCGCACTCCGACAGGCACTAGCGATTGACTGCATC